TGGGCCGTGTGATGCTGTACGAGCGCTTCGATATCCGCATTGCTCGACCGGATCGCGGGAGGGAAGTGGTCGGAACCCTCTCTCCTGGAGCCTTTTGTGCCGAATACTTTGCTGGTAAGACGAAGCCCCACCCACGCCTTATTTCTTACCCCCCACGCCTGTATCACCCCCTCTTTTGCCACTGCAGTGCACCTGCCAAGGCTGCGGGACCATACAGCCCCTTGTGCCCCGTTCTCACCAAGCCCCAACTCCCTTGTGCCACTTCCTTCCCTTTCCAGCAGGCACACCTGCTGGCAACCTGCAGTGCAACTGCCATATCTGTGGGTTTCAAGGTGTGGGCCAAGTGCCTCGTTCTAACCAGCCGCTCCCTCTCTTGTGCCCCCACCTTCCCCTTCCAGCAGGCGCACCTGAGGGCAAAAAACCCCAACCGTTGCCGTGGATAGCGGGTTTGGCATTGTGGGCCATGTGCCTCGTTCTTACCAGCAGCGCCCTCCTTTGTGTCCCCACCCTCCCCATTCCAGCAGGCACACCTAAGGGCAAACTGGAGGGCACCTTGCGAAAATTCACACGGCCCTGGTGTCTCATTAGAACCAGCCCCTCCCTCCTTGCGCCCCCACCTTCCCCATTCCAGCAGGCGCACCTGAGGGCAAACTGCAGGGCACCCTTCGTGATTTTCAAGGCCCTGGTGTCTCATTAAAACCAGCCCCTCCCTCCCTTGCGTCCCCACCTTCCCCATTCCAGCAGGTGCACCTGAGGGCAAATTGGAGGGCTGCTGCCCTCCCTGTGGGTTTCAAAGTGTGGGCCAAGTGCCTTGTTCTAACCAGCAGCACCCTCTCCAGTTTCCCCATACCAGCAGGCGCACCTGAGGGCAAACTGGAGGGCACCTGCCCTCCCTGTTGGTTCCAAAGTGTGGGCCATGTGCCTCGTTCTTATCAGCAGCGCCCTCCTTTGTGTCCCCACCCTCCCCATTCCAGCAGGCGCACCTGAGGGCAAACTGGAGGGCACCTTGCGGAAATTCACACGGCCCTGGTGTCTCATTAGAACCAGCCCCTCCCTCCCTTGCGCCCCCACCTTCGCCATTCCAGCAGGCACACCTGAACCCTACTGTAGTGCACCTGGCTTGTGTGTTTCACTGCTAAACCCTAGTGCTTCCTACTAACCCTGCCCCTTACCCCCCTTGTACCCTGCTGTAGTGCACCTAGCTTGACCACTTCCAGCAGGCACATGGTTAACGCCACTGCAGTGCAAGCCATTTCTGTGTGTTTATGCAGCGCCTCTCACCCTCATTTCTCCGCTCAGAACACCTGCCCCCACCCACTCAATCTATTGCATCCACCAACGCGTATTTTCTCCCCCCATTCTCACCTCCACTGTTGAGTAGATGCGACTTCATGGGGCTTGCTGAAGTGGCACTTCAATGACGATGGCCTGCCATTCTCAACAGACTTCTTCACTGCTGCAGTATTCCACTCGTTTCAGAGGCCGGGGCACTCCTTTGTGGTGCTCCGATTCAATCAACTTGCCTTTTTTTCTGCTGGGGGTATGTTGAGCCATGTGGTTGTGTTAACAAGGTGTTTTGTCTAGTTGCATGTCGCGATGCTGGTTTTTGACATACGTTGTAATCACCCCAACCCATTGCTTGTTGCAGGTCGAGTACAAGTTGATCAACGGTGAAGAAATGCCGCGTAGCCCGGTTGCCAATCGAAACGCATTGACGATTCACCATTCGAAGGTCCACAACGCCGTCGCGTTCGCCGTTCAGAATAGGAGTGCAATTACGGGCCCGTGGTGGGAGGCTGATAAGGCTGCTTGGAAATTCAATGCAACCACCGCGAGGGTGTTTATCTCATGCGCAGGGTTGCCAGGATTGCAAGGTCCCTAAGCCTCACCTTTAAGAAAGCGTAGGATGCCATGTGTTTGCAGCAGTGTTTGCGTCGTAGTTTGTGTGGCGTAGTAATTTGTTCAGTACCCCTGTTGCGTAATATTTGCAATAACTAATCGTATTAATAATCCATTTATAATTAATATTATATGCAGAAAAGAACCAGTACAAAATATATAACATACAATTTTACGAATATAGAAAATTGCTAAATTAAAGTTACCCTATTAACAACAACGTAACTGTTACACACACTTTCTCGGCGTCAATAATATAGCGACACTTGGGGACGCACTAGATGCACACGTCAGCAAACACCAAGAAAATTACTGCGACGTGTTGCACAAGCGTGCATTTGCCTTGTGCCCTTCCCCGAAACGTGTAATCCCCAGGTTCGGTCATGCTGTCTGACCTGTTCGGAATATGCTTGACAGGTGTCGCACACTTTACCAATAATAATCTCTGTCAGTGGCCCTGTTCGGCAGCACTTCAGGAGCACTAAAAACAGGTCATCTTGGCTGTTGGGAGCCTGAAAAGTGTTCATGTTGGCCGTTGAGAGTGGTTCGGCACCACCAAAATCGCCTGCGACCCTCGTGCGACAAGACTTCATTCCGAGCTACCCACCCCACACAACTCCGAACCTCTCGCCCAACCCGAAGCCTGACGTGGGCCCAGAAGTCAGCCAACGACCAATCACAAGAAGGGAAGGCCAGAAGATGGGTACTCATCTTTTCAACGTGAGTACCCATCTTCCGCCTAATTGAGACTTCCATTTCGGGCAGCGTGGGGGGTAAGTCCTGCGTCCCCCAAGTGCCCTCCTGCCCAGATTGGGGGTATTTTTAAACATGTGCATCGCCAGCAAAAGGCCCCGCGAACACACGAACAGCAGCCCAGTGCAACGTCCTCGACATACCTAGCAGGAGCAACTTTTTTTTTCAGATTTTCCGTCCGCGGGAGGCCTGACCCAGGGCCATAAACCTGAGTGAGTTGGATGTGTGGAGGATTTTTGGGTCGTTCATGTTGGCCGTTGAGGTCCGGTGGCCTGGTCTAATTTCTCTGTCTTTTGCGCGGACACTGTAGATACACCTTAGATTTTGCTGACGTGTTGCCACGGTGTCAGGACGACAAGCTGCCTTTGGTTTCCGAACTTCCCAACGTTCGGAACCAGACCTCCCGCACAACACCGAACCTAGATGGGGAAAAACGTGCAATTTTGCAGCCGAACAGGGCCAGTGTTTGGCGCGAAATGCGCTCATTCGACGCAACCCAGTGGAAACATGACTTCCCAGCCAGTCAAAAGGTCACAGCTCAGGGAACGCAATGTTACTCGGCTTTTCGTGCTCAAATGGGTGTAAGCCGCATCAGTCGCAAAAGCAGAGTTACTGCTTTTCGTGTGTAATCGTGGGGACTTCGCTGCACACAAGTTCATTCCTGCCACGAAGTAACCTTCCCGTATGTTTACGTTCGGAGCAGCCCAACCTCGCCCAGTAGGTTCGCTAGTAACTAGAAAGTTGTTTCCTGGACAACAACCGACAAGTAACTAAATAGTAGCTTCACGGTAGGTTTCGATCAGCCCCATTTTTGGGATGAGACTCGTTCAATGATCGCAAAAGCTTTCTCCTGAAGCCCGAACGTACCTGCCCAGAAGGAGAGGAAAGGAACCACCCAAAGGGACGAATTGCGGTGCTGTAGAATGGAGATGGTTACGCGTCACGCATACACGCGACGCCCAACCTTGCCCATACAGTACTCTCTGGGTTTACAAATCTTTCTCGTAGAACAGTTCCAGGATTCGTCGCAGAGTCTCGCCATTTCGGTTGTGATTGCGACGCCAACGTCTGCAGACGCACTGTACATCGGCCTACACCTGGCGATGTCGCCAACCGCGGTGCCGTCACTGCCGGCAGGTGCAAACGCGTCCTGTACCATGAATCACGACGCCCAACCAATCATAATGAAGAATTGTATTACTCTCCGAGCCTATTTCCGTGTCCTGACCAATCAAAGCTCAACCCTAAAATCTGCTCGACAAATGATACACACATGCCCAAGCTTATCGCGTTTGCCTATCCCGTGTGCAAACCACGTCCCTCGTGGGGCAACCATACATTGTAAGCAATCTCGTTTTTGTATCACAGCCGCTGAACAGACACCGTCATGTGCTGCAATTTTCATTTACAGTACAAATGTTCAATACTAAAAGAAAATCGTGAACGCAAACTAAAACCGATGATTGGTTGACTTTTCTGGTCCTACCTCTGGCACGCACTACGGCGCAGAGCGCTCACCCGGCCATGCAATAATCCCCTCACCCCCCAGTCATTCGCCCACCGATGTTCCCCCAGCCCGCCCGACATCACGAACCGCGTATCTTATCGAGGACTAACCTCACCGATACCCGTAATAACGTTTTGGAAACCTGTCGCAACCTCACAATCCCAGCTAACCGCATCAGAACCATCCGCCGTTCGCGCAAAAGCAGTGCCATCCCCAAGGTGGTGGTGGTTGGTGCGGGCCGCGGGCGGAAGGAACTCTCCCCCCTCGATACTACCTCCACTTGCCATTTCGCATTTTAGAAATCAGCTTTCCAACAGGTTGTTTCTCCTGACCAGACCAGACTGGTCTAGTGCGACTGAGCAGGGTTGTTTTGTGTGCCTGGACTGGAAGGCTGGAAATTGCTTTTTTTTCCATCCCCCAATCGACCCAGAGCGGCTGTTTTTGATTTGGGCAAAGACTTGACGGCCGTGATCGCCTTAGAGCAGGGGGCAGCGCGGATCGTAGGGAGCAGATTAGCGTCGCACAGCGTACGTGTGTGTTGAACCATATCAAATTCGTGTCAAAATATATGCTGCTTTTTGTTTCTGTTTAGGTGCGCTATGTTCGCTATGACGCTTTCAGCTAGGAAGAGCCGTGATCGTCGTGCCACCTTGTAGTCCTACAGGATGCGACGTGTCGCGTCTAGTACATCCCTTTTCCGGGCAGCCCGTTCTTCCACGTCGCGATCGGTGGAGTCAGCAGCTTTAAATCCTAAAACTCTCCAATTGAATTAATGACCGTCGAGATTCTCGCCAATTACTGTGAAATATCGCAAACTCCTGTCGTCACTCACGTCGCACGCATGGCGTCGGGTGTAATCGCATCGTTTCGTCGCATGGTGACGTCGTGTATAATCGCACTGCTTCTAACGAGCACCGGCTGCTATCAAGGTCCCGCAGTGGCAGCCGCGGTGGTAACCATTCCAGGAACACCTTCGCCGAAGGTTTCGCCAAAGCTTTCCCTGAAGATTCCGCCAAAGGTTCCGCCGAAGGTTCCGCCGCCTCTCCCCGCGGGGCGCATCCCTGGCGGCGGAAACGTCGCGGCTGGGGGAAACTCCACGTGGCAGCCCAGCGATTCGTGGCAGCCTGAGCTGACGCTACTCGCGAACAACTCGTACGGCGCGCGTTGCCTGGACGGCAGGTGCGCGGATAGGACGAGTGTGACAATCACGGTAATATGATCGTGATCGTGGTATTCGCGGCGCGTTGCAGTTAATCCGTGGTTGTCTGGTGTGAATTGTCAAGAGAAGACAGGTGGGCTGCGAAGGCCTCATTTCCATGGTTGTCTTGTGTGAATCTCCTGCCTCTATTCTTCCTCGCCATTAGTCGCGCATCCCCCAGCCCCCTGCTCCCTTGTGCATGGGCGGAGGGCGTTCGGGTTCCGCCACCTTCCCCTTTCCCCTCTCTCCTCTCTCCTCCCACCCCCGCCCACCTTCCCCTTCCCCCTCTCTCCTCTCTCCTCTCTCCTCCCCTTTCCCCTCTCCCCTCTCTTCCCCACTCCGTCCCCCTTTCCCCCCCGCAACCCCCCTTCCGCTCTCCCCCGCAACCCCCACCCCCCGCTGCCACCCCCCACAGTCCCCCGGGGTACTACTTCCGCCCGGGTTCGGGGGAGGGCGCGGACGCGTGGCATGTGCACCTGCCCATGGGGGGGTGGTGCTTCAACCTCAGCACCTGCGCGGATCGCGCCAAGACCTTCCTGGGTTCGTCCCGAGCCGACCTGCAAGAAGAGAACCCATACCGCCATGTGAGCGAGGAGGCAGAGGGGTGATAGGGGGAAATGGGTAGGAAAGGGGGAGTGGGGTGGGAAGGGGAAGGAGGTAAGGGGAGGGTGAGGGAGGGGGAAAGAGGAAGGGGGAGGGAGGGGGACGGAGGGGGAATGGTGAAGGGGATGGGGAGGGAGTGTGCGAAAAGGAAGGGGGACGGCAGCATTGGCAGCTCGTCTCTTGCCCCCATCTCCTCTCGTTTGAGTCACCGTTCCAAGCGTTTCTTGACTCCATCACTCACATCCGTAGAAATCTCTGTTTTTAAATCTGAACCGTAGAAAACTCTGAGCTTAAATCTAAACCGTTCGCCTGGTTGTCAATATCTGAGCTCGTGTCTGCTTCTTACCTCTCCCTCCCTCTCTCACCCCTCCTTGCACGCTGCTGTGTGGAATGCTGCCACGCCGCTCGTCCTCCACCTTGACCCCTCACTGCAGGCGCGGTGGGACTATCAGGGTACCCTGAGCAGCAGGAAGAGCGTGAAGTGAATCCGCGCTTCTACAACTGGAATGCGGTCGTGCCCACCTACTGCTCTCTCCGTCCCATGCCGCTCTCTCTTACCCTCCCACCTGCAGGCGCGATGGGGCTACCAGGGAATCCTGAGCAGCAGGAAGAGAGTGAACCCGCGCTTCTACAACTGGAACGTCGTCGTCCCCACCTACTGCTGCTGCCTCTGTCACACGCTGTTCTTGCTCTGTGCCCCATTGACCCTCACTTCAGGCGCGGTGGGGCTACCAGGGAATCCTGAGCAGAAGGACGAGCGTGAATGCGCGGTTCTACAACTGGAACGTCGTCGCTCCCACCTACTGCTCTCTCCCCGGCCCACGTCTCTCACTCTCTCCATCCCACACCGCTCCCTCTCTCTCATCCTCCTTGCTCCATGCCCCCTTGATCCCACACCTGCAGGCGCGGTGGGGCTATCAGGGTATCTTGAGCAGCAGGAAGAGCGTGAATCCCTGCTTTTACAACTGGAATGCGGTCGTGCCCACCTACTGCTCTCTCAGTCCCTCGCTGCTCCCTCTCTCATCCCTCCCTCCGTGTTCTATGCCGCCTTGATTCCTCCCTACTGCACCTGCAGGCGCGGTGGGGCTATCAGGGCATACTGAGCAGCAGGAAGAGCGTGAATCCGCGCTTCTACAACTGGAACGTCGTCGTCCCCACCTACTGTGACGGAGGGGGGTTCTCGGGCAGGCGAGGGCCTGTGAGGGTGAATGGTCGCAACGTTACTCTCTACTTGGAAGGATGGAAGATCATGAAAGCCGTGCTGACTGGTGGGTTGGTATGTGGGTGGGTGGGTGTGTGGGCAGGCGAGGGCCGGTGAGGGTGAACGGTCGCAATGTTACCCTGTACTTGGAGGGGTGGAAGATCTTGAAAGCCGTGCTGAATGGTGGGTGGGTGGGTGGGTGAGTGAGTGAGTGAGTGAGTGAGTGGGTGGGTGGGTGGGTGAGTGAGTGAGTGAGTGAGTGGGTGGGTGGGTGGCTGAGTGAGTGAGTGGGTGGGTGGGTGGGTGAGTGAGTGAGTGAGTGAGTGAGTGGGTGGGTGAGTGAGTGAGTGAGTGGGTGAGTGGGTGGGTGCGCAGTGATTGTTGTGCTCTAGAAGCTTCCACACACTCTGCCCAACCCCCCCATCCCGCCACACATTCTCTCTGCACCCAGCCTCTCCACTTATACCCTTACCTGTTCACTTTTGAAATGTCTGAAAAAGTCCTCTGCATGCATGCAGTCTCTTCCTTACCTGTCCCTGTCAGTCTCTTCTCTTCCTTACCTGTCCTTACACAGAGACTGTCATTCTCTCCTGCCTCCGTCTCTGCTGTGCTGTCTCAACCCGTCGAGCCTCAACGTTACCAACGTCTCCCCCTCCCTCCCTCCCTCCCTCCATGCCCTCCCACCAGACCTCCTCACCAACCGCGGCCTGCATTCCGCCACCTCTCTGCTGCTCTCCGGGGCATCAGCGGGCGGGCAAGCCATCGCCACCTTCTGTTGCCTCCTCGCCTACTCTGTCGCCCACTCTTTTGCTGTCAACTGCTGCTCCCTGCTCTCTGTCCCGTTACCCTCCCACCAGACCTCCTCACCAACCGCGGCCTGCATTCCGCCACCTCTCTGCTGCTCTCCGGGGCATCAGCGGGAGGTCAAGCCGTGGTGACCTTCTGTGGCCTCCTCGCCAACTCAGTCGCCCACCCCTCTGCGGTCAAGTGCCTGCTGGACTCCGCCTTCTTCACTGGTGGGTGTTGACTGGCGTTGACTGGCGCTGACTGAGGTTGATCTATGTTGACTCGCGTTGACATGGCCTTCATCACTGATTGATGCACCTTGTAAGATAGTTGCCTCTGTCGCCCACCCCTCTGCTGTCAAGTGCCTGCTGGACTCCGCCTTCTTTGCTGGTGGGTGTTGACTGGCGTTGACTGGCGTTTGCACGGGTTGGTGTGCTTTGTAAGATAGTTGCCTCTGTCGCCCACCCCTCTGCTGTCAAGTGCCTGCTGGACTCCGACTACTTCACTGGTAACTGTTGACTTGCGTTGATTCGTGCTGACTGATGGGGTGTTGACACCCAAACTCCTCGTTTAAAGCCAAAAGTGCCTCTTCTTTGTGACTATCACTGCATATCCCGACTGACGGTTTTGCGCCCCCCTCCCCTTCCCCATTCCCCATTCCCCATTTCTCCGTTCCCCCATTCTGGAATTCCTCCATTCCATTGTTCCCCAGTTCACCAGACTCGTTGGATCGAAACAGCTACCCCTAGTTCCAGCACATGGTGAAGAACACAGCTGAGCTTCACAAGTCCGTGCTTCCACTCATGGCTTCCACTCATGGCTTCCACTCATCCCCTCTTCCCCTCTTCCCCTCTTCCCCTCTTCCCCTCTTCCCCTCTTCCCCTCTTCCCCTCTTCCCCTCTTCCCCTCTTCCCCCCTTCCCCTCTTCCCCTCTTCCCCTCTTCCCCTCTTCCCCCTTCCCCTCTTCCCCCCTTCCCCTCTTCCCCTCTTCCCCTCTTCCCCTCTTCCCCTCTTCCCCCTTCCCCTCTTCCCCTCTTCCCCTCTTCCCCTCTTCCCCTCTTCCCCTCTTCCCCTCTTCCCCTCTTCCCCTCTTCCCCTCTTCCCCTCTTCCCCTCTTCCCCTCTTCCCCTCTTCCCCTCTTCCCCTCTTCCCCTCTTCCCCCCTTCCCCTCTTCCCCTCTTCCCCTCTTCCCCCCTTCCCCTCTTCCCCTCTTCCCCTCTTGCCCCCTTCCCCTCTTCCCCTCTTCCCCTCTTCCCCTCTTCCCCTCTTCCCCTCTTCCCCTCTTCCCCTCTTCCCCCCTTCCCCTCTTCCCCTCTTCCCCTCTTCCCCTCTTCCCCCCTTCCCCTCTTCCCCTCTTCCCCTCTTCCCCTCTTCCCCTCTTCCCCTCTTCCCCTCTTCCCCTCTTCCCCTCTTCCCCTCTCCCCCCTGTTTTCCGTTCCTACCCCCCTTGTTCCCACATGCAACAGACTCATTGGACCGAAACAGCTATCCCTATTTCCAGCACACGGTGAAGAACATGGCGGAGCTTCACAACCATCAATGCACTCCCCTGACCCTCTCCCCCTGGTTTTACGTTCCTCCCCCCCTTGTTCACTCGTGCAACAGACTCATTGGACCGGAACGGCTATCCCTATTTCCAGCACACGGTAAAGAACATGGCGGAGCTTCACGAGTCTGTGGGCAACCCCAAATGCGCCAAGGGTAATTCACCCTAGAAATGCATCACGCAATCCATCCCTCTCGATGCACCTTATGCGGATCTTCTTGTCACATCGGTGCTCAAATGTGTGCAAATGTTTCGCAACACATTGGTTCTCAGAGGAGTTGGTCTGGCACCAGATGACTTGTCACTGTATCGACCAGACTTTCAAAAACCAGACAATGGGGTCCGTTTGCCCCTCCTTGAACTCACCCTATCGCTCCCCTCTCCCCCCACTTCTTTCCCATTCCCCATTCAAGCATCACCCCCATTCAAGCATCACCCCCATTCGAATCAAATGCACCCCATCACCCCCGTTTCCCTCCCCCAGCGCAACCACCTGCCATGCGCTGGCGCTGCTTCTTCCCACAGTACACACTCGCCACTCCATTCCTCTTTCTCTTCCCACAGTACACACTCGCCACTCCATTCCTCTTTCTCTTCCCACAGTACGCACTCGCCTTTGTCACGCGCCGCCCGGTGTTCATCGTTCAGCCGCTCTTTGACTTCACCAATTCTCCCCATTGCCCTCCTCTTCTTCCCGCAACTCACCCCATCTCCCATCCCCCAACTCAACCCCCCCGCCAAAAAGTGGCGCTGCTTCTTTCCCCTGTACACGCTCGCCTTCAAGGCTCAAGGCTCTGTTTTCCCCTCACCAACTCACCCCATCAACTTGAACTCCCAACCCCAACCCTCCCCCATCCCCCAGCGCAACCCCCCGCCAAGAAGTGGCGCTGCTTCTTCCCGCAGTACGCGCTCGCCTTTGTCACGCGCCGCCCGGTCTTCATCGTGCAGCCGCTCTTTGACTTCCGCGCCCTCGTGCGCGGTAACCAGCTACCCGAGGACTACGGTTACGTCTTGAACTGCCTGCGCTCGCTCCTCTCCCTGCCCGTCCTCCCGGAGAAGAAAAAGAATCCAAAGATTTCTCGCCAAGCGTTTGACCTAGCAGCTGTGGATGAGGGGGGAAGTGAGGAGGGACTGTTACAGGGTTGGAAGGAGATTGAGGGAGACGGTTACACTACGTACTCCATATGGGCCGAAGCGAATTTGCGAGAAGCAAATGAAGCGGCAGCAAGCGGAGCAGCATCAGACAAGGCGCTGTCATCAAGAGGGGTAGCAAATGTAGCGGCAGCGAGTGAGGCTGCATTCGTATTGCAGGCTGGGGTGAATGCAACAAAAGGGCCAACATCATTCTGCAAGCCGGACGAGTTGGTGGCGATATTGACGGTGGCGAATAATGTTGCAAGGTTCACCAAGATGCTTAGACGAAAGAGCTTCGGCACATTCTTGCCTGTGGAATATGAGCATGCAGTAATCACATCTGAACTCTGGACGAACAGTGTTTTTAATGGGGTCACGATGAGAGATGCTGTTGCTAATTGGTATTTCTCATAATGTAAATTACTATCATGCTTTTCATTCTTGTTGTCTGCATGCTGTAAACCGTTAATGCATCTATATATTTGCGATTTCATGCAAAACAGATGCTGTCGGCGCTGCGTTACAGCGCCCTCATATCCTTCCCCTCGCTACAGACTCAGCGCCTCGGATTCCGGCGGCGGTAAGTTGACCAAACAGTCACCACCAAGTCTCGCGACTATTACATACCGAGACGCGATCATCTGTGATTGGTTCAGAACCATCTCCAGCGCCTCCCCAACCTCCCCATTTCCGTCGCACAATTTCCGCCCCACCTGTTTTTCTCCCTTCGACACCGCCCACCACAGCTGTGTCGGGCAAACAAGCACCATTTTCTCCTGCTGCATCTGCGCCTTTTGGTTTCCCCCACCCCGCGCTGTCCCCTCTTCCCCTCCCTCCATTTCCCCGAGCTACGGTATCCCTTCACTTCCCAAATTCACCCTCCCCTCCCCCATTTCCCTCATTACCCCAACCGCCCACCATCTCCATCCCCCTTTTCGCCCGAATTCGCCCATCCCCGACATTTGTTCCAGAATTGGCCCCTCCACCTGCAAATATTGACAGCTGTGACCGTTCACCGCCGTTTGAAAGCACCAAGAACCGTCACCAACCTCATGGATCCTCCCCTTTTTCTTCACCCCACCAAACCAGCCGTAGTAGGTGCACCAGTGTGCACGTACGCTCACCGACAGTACTACTGTACAGAACTGTCTGATACCTGACCTAACAGCGAACATGCTTGAGTGGCAGGTATGCAGGCACAATGCGAACCATGCATTCATGCAGCATATGTGCTTGCCTGTTTCAACCCTTAAGTCGGCTCCGCGTGTTCCGCCTCGATAGTCTCGTCCTACAGTCCATGGAGCTTGCCCTTCATCTCGTTCCTCCCTGTCATTCCGCGCAGTGATCTGGTCTGATTGATTACTGTCTGCTGCAGTGGTCAAACGATTGAATACCGTACCGAGTGACTGCTGCGGCGGACGAGCCTTGCTCCCGCTGTGCTGCGCGTGTCGCCGATGCATCGTTCGTGTTCCAGTTAATCATTCATGTTCCAGTTAATCGTAGCTGTAATGGAACGAGCAGGACGCCGGTTGAGCAATTTAGGTCGTGAGCTTTAAATAGTTGATGTTCATTGTCGACAGTTCAGCTCCATTACAGTCAGTCTAAATTGATTAGTTGCGTCTAGATGGCATTATGAAGACTACCCGCGTCTGGATACCGCTAGAAGGGACTGAAATGGTGAAGCGCTATGAGAAGTATAGTCCGTAACCAGATCGCAAGTGCAGCATCTGTAACATCTGTAGTGGTATGCAACATCGCCTGGCGCGTATAGAGACGCCTTTAATAGGCGGGAGGTCGTCTCTGCGCGATCGCATGTGCCATAGCGCCACCGCGGAACGAATAGCGGGTAACACGCGCCTACTTCGCCACTGCCGTTCGCAGCCCGTCGTAATGCCACGATCGTCAAGATCGTCGCGAGTGTCGCGAGCGCCGTCGTTAGTAACCCTCGCGGTGGCGCTGGTGCTATTGGCGGGGGGCGCGATTCGCGGCGGCGAATGCATGCTGCGAACCATGCGGCTCGTCACCCTGCCGAATAACGCGCTAGGCGCCAGATGTCTCGACGGCAGGTACCTCGTGGCACGCCCTGATAGGTCGATGCTTCTGCTGACTCATGAGAGAATTAAGTAGTCTAGGTGAACTGCATACCTTCGCATACCGTTTTGCCTGCTCCTTTCGCCCCCAACTCCCTACCTTCTCCTTTCCCCTTTCTTCACCCGTCCTCCTCCTTCCTCCCCTCTTCCCGCTCCCCCCTCTCCGTTTTCCGTTCCCCCCTCCCCCTTTCCCGCTCGCCCGTTGCCCCTCCCCGTCCCACTTCCTCAGCGAACCTTCGTATTACTTCCGCCCAGGCGCCTCCCCTGCACCGCCCGTCAAGCGGACCTCTCCGCGCGCAGCCTCTTCGCCAATAGCAGGCGGCCACGTGGCAGGCAGCGCCCAGTCCGCCAATCGGCGGTGGTTCGCCAGCAGAAGCAGCGGGATTACCACGGGGAAACCGAATCAATGGGCATCGTCGTTGCCGGCGGGCGGCGCCGCGGATCGAGCCACGTGGCAGCCAGCGCAAACGCCGGGGGGCGACCCGGAGATAAAGATTCACATCCACCTGCCGGCGGGAGGGTGGTGCTTCAACGCGCAAGAGTGCCTTAATCGCTCCTTGACCTTCCTGGGTTCCAGTGAGGGTTGGCCTACTATCATCCCCGATGTGAGTTACCCCCCCTACCCCGCCCCCCCCCACCCCCCCTCCTCCCTCCCCCCGGCTTCCCCCTCCCCCTCTCAGCCCTCCCCGTCTCCCTCCTCGCCGTTTCCCCCCTTCCCCTATACTCTCCTTTCGCCAACCCTTTCGTTCCCCGTCCCCCCACCTTCAACGTCCCTAAGTTGCGCCCCTCTCGTTCCCCCTTCCTCCCACCCCCTCTCGTCACAACTACTGCGCGCATCCCCCTTTTCCCCACCCCCCCTCCCCCATCCTTCCCCAGTCAGCCCCCATGGGCGGCATTCTGAGCGGCTTTCCGGACTTGAACCCTCCGTTCGCGGGTCAGCGCACATCTCCTCTTCCCCCCCACTCCTTTCCGCTCCCCCCATCCTCCCCCAGTCGGTTCCCATGGGCGGGATTCTGAACGACGATCCGGATGTGAACCCGCTATTCGCGGACTGGCCCCTCGCGCGCATCAACTACTGCGACGGCGGGGGCTTCGCGGGGCAGCGCGGGCGCATCAACGTCACCATCCCGGGCGCGCCTGTTAGGGGGAAGCAGGCGGGCGGGCAGGCAGGGGGGCAAGGGGGAAAGCAGGGGCGGGTGCTGGCGGGGATGAAGCCCGGGCCTGGGGGACCGGGGGCAGGCGGGGGGAGCGGGGGGGCGGTGGGGGGGAGGCCGGGGGGGACGGTCGGGGGGAAGCCAGGGGGATCGGCGGGGGGGAGGCAAAAGATCGTACCTCTTTACATGGATGGGTGGAACGTCGTTCGGTCCATCATAGATGGTGCGTTTCTTTGGGAGTGAATCGAAGGGGCCCCAGGCTTGAGGCTGTGCAACGATTCCATCGCAGTGAATCGAAGGGCGACGATTCCTTTGGGAGTGAATCGAAGGGCGACGATTCCTTTGGGAGTGAATCGAAGGGCGACGATTCCTTTGGGAGTGAATTGTTGCCCTTTTGACATTATTCTCTCTCCTTCCCCTCTCAACTCCACGCTCTCTTTTTCTCACACCCACTCTCTCTCTCTCCCCTCACACCCCACTTTCTCCTCCCCACTTTCTCCTCCCCACTTTCTCCTCCCCTCATTCTCCTCCCCTCACCCCACCCTCGCACGTATGAAGTTACTGGTGCTGCACCTAGGAGATTTTTCCATCTCCCACTCACGGCTCAAATCCTATGAGTCGACTCAAAGTCACCGCAGGCGACTATCAAACTCTAATCCCATGCCCCCCCCCCCCCCCCCCCTCCCCCGGCGCCTTATCCATCCCCTCCGTCCCCCTACACCTCCCACCCTTCCCCCTCCCCCCCCCCCCCCTGGGCCGCCCCTTCCCTCCAACGCTCCCAACCCCTCCCTCCCTGCAGACCTGAAGGCGAAGCGGGGTTTCAACCTGCCCACACAGAAGTTTTGCTCAACCTGCTGCTCAAGTTCAACCTCCTACGCTCTCTGGGAGCTCAGCAAACGGGCAGGCGGTCATCTACCTCTATTCCTTCCCCCCTCCTTCCACTCATTCCTCCCCTTACCCATCCCCTCCGTCCCCCTACACCTCCCCCCCTTCCCCTCCCCGCCGGCCGTCCCTTCCCTCCTCTCCCAACCCCTCCCTCCCTGCAGACCTGAAGGCGAAGCGGGGCTTTAATCTGGCCACAGAGGTTTTGCTCTCGGGCAGCTCAGCGGGCGGGCAGGCGACCATCTACCTTTGTGACCGCGTGGCTGCTGCCTTCCCCACCGCCACCACCCGCTGCGTTGCAGACTCGGGCTATTTTGTCAGTAAGCTATTCTGTTACATGTATTGTTTGGGTGCTTGCTATGTTGATGTTACTTTTGAGAATTCTTAAAAGTAACATCAACCTATTCTGTTACATACATCGTTTGGGTACTTTGTCTGAAAGTGGAGTGATGTGCCGCACAAAAGACAAAGTCTTTATTATTAATACAGCTCATATACATCATACCTATACACATATTAGTATACATATATGGTCTCGTTTATAAGCAGGGAACAAAAACCCGAAACAAACCGACATGAAGACTCCTGTTGACTTTTCTTGAATCCCCTCCTTTGCTCCTATCACCCTCACCCCACTTCAACCCCTCTCAACACCTGCAGACTCCATAGATCGCAACGGCACGCGGCTGTGGGAGCGGCTGGCAAAGAGCATCTCAACCACTCAGCAACTCAGCAACCCTGCCTGCCGCAAACGTCAGGGCCTTCCCCATCCCCTCCCCACCTCCTCCCTCCCACACGCACCTCCCTCCCCACTCCCTCCCTCGCGCACCTTCTTTCCCTTGCTGCCCCTATTTCCTCCCGCCCTGCTCCGATCGCCTTTGCATGGCATCAACCTTCTTCCCCTGGATTGCCCGAGCTCTCAAAAAACTTTTGATGCGCCTCGAAAAAACCCTCCCCCTCTCCCCTCCCTTCTGCTTCTCCTTTTTGAAATAATGCGACCTGCAGGGCTCCCTCCCTCGCGCCACTGGGCCTGTTTCTTCCCCGAGCAAGCCCTAATGGCGCTAAAAACTCCCATCTTCGTCATCCAATCGCTTTTTGACGTCGTCGCGGCGGCGATTGGAGGGCAGACCCGCACCACTCCGGACCACAATTTTTATAACTATACTGCTACGGTACAGTGCGTGAACGAGCTTTTGGATATTCCAATGCCGATAACAATATTTGTGCGGTCTGGCACTTGGCGGAACGTTCGATATAAGACGAATTACTGCAAGGTTGGGGAGCGGACAGCGATGTATAATATGGCGCAGTTGGTGTACACGGGGTTGGAGAGGGCGAGCAAGGAGCGGCAGACTAGGGGGGTTTTTCTTATATCTAACGGCATGCATGGTGTGGCTTTAATGGATGACAGGTGGGTGGGGACTAAGGTGAAAGGAGTTAGCGCCAGAGATGCATTGACACGGTGGTATAACAGTAGATTGAACAAAATTTTCTTCATGCATGAGTAATACATGCATATACATGTTTTGTAATGCCACTGTCCAAAAAAATTCTCGCTGATGACTGCCTCAGAAAAGATCCCACTTGGCACAGCCCTGACATTGTGTTCAAAGGTACCAGTACTAGGTTTGCATAGTGATTACTCAGGTTGCTAAGCAGTGTAGCTATCTTCACGACTTATGCGGATATCTGGTATGCGAGATACGTGCAATTCCTTTTCACGATGATTCTTCAACCTCCAGCGGCTGACGTGGTGGGATTGTTGTGGACTTGCCGCACCTCACGGGAATGCCAAGACCACGACCACGACACCTCGTGCGATATTCCAGAGCGAAACCTTTCACTTTCAGGAAGTTGTTGACGCACCTTCGCAAATCCCCGTCATCCAATGAAACAGTCGTTGCTTATATCGAAATGGAGCTTGGATTCGTCAATGTGTTCGCCACACAGTGTTACGAGGTGCACCACTTGCTTGAGAAGAAGTTTCGCCCGAAGCGCGATGAGAGAGGCGGTTCGAGCGAAACCGGCTGAGTGATGTGCTATGCCAGGGGCAAATTCTCCTACCAAAAGCAATTTCTTGCACAAGCCAACCAGATCCAAGTTTCCCCAACCCAAACCAGACCTAAGCCGCGCCTGTATAGGCTTTTCGGTTCTCCTCAGCTGAACGCAACACCGCCGCCTCTCAAGTCGTGCTGAAGCGTCCAACTGCTAACCGCACCCAGTTAGTACTGCACCACCTACTTTGCGAACAAAGGATGACCTGGTTTTGCCGAAGCGACAGCCCGCACCAACCTTTCAATTGGCAATACCCAGTCTCGAGCAGGTCTTACTTGCTCGCGGTCATGTCTAGATGCACGCGCACCCGTCGCATTCGAATAATTCCGAATTAGCTCCACTTACGCTGTCGCCTTCTGTAATTGGCGGGGGATAGCTCGCCTCCGTTAGACCCTCCCGCCTTCCAGTTAGACTCTCCCTCCGTACGAGACTACCGTGAATGCGGATTAGTATGGCTCATGAGCCTTAGTAGGCTGCACCATATCGGTACGGCATTGCACATTCGTAAGCCATAGTATACTTCGACACCATGGCGCCTTGATAGTGTCTCATATCTCCAATTCAACAAGCGACTCTTCCGGGGTCGCCTTGATAACGCCCGGGCCGCCGTTGATCAAAGCTCGCGTCGAGTTCGCTATCGTTTCCCAACCAATTATGGCGAAGCCGTGGAAGGACGCCACGTGGCATTGGCGCGCGTTGATCCTCACGCCTTTCCTTCTAACTCTCTGCTGGCTTACGTGGCCGGCCCTGCCGTCCGTCCACGTCAGCGTTGACGTCCATTGGCCGCAAGAGCGAGATTCCCTAGATTCCATCTCGTACCTACTGAATCTACCCGCCCCGCTAGGGACTCACGCGGAGTTATCCGGGTTGGAGAAAAGCGCAGAACCTCTGCGAAATAAGCAAGCAGCGGGTAACACTCCGGCCGGCATTCCTAGACAGCGCCCCGATGACGGCGATAGACGGTGGCGTCCGGAGGGTGGGGGAAAAGAGGACGTAGCGCTGCGCGGGGGGAAGCGCGGACCGGGGGGGATGCGGGCGGAGGACCGGGAGTTCCGCGTGCTGCCGCTAACGGTGAAAGCGATGGCGGTGGCGAGCGCGTACCGCGTGGGTGAGAGCAGCTTCGTGGTAATGGGGGAGTACCTCACACCCGTCTTGGCGCATCATCTGAAGCGCGCGCTCGTCGACGAGTGCGCGTGGGAGGGGGAAACCGACGACCACGCGGTGACTGCGGCAGAGTTTCTCTGGGTATGCTCCTCCCCCCTCCCTTCCTTCTCCGCACCTCCTCTCCCCCGTACATTTCACCCGCGCGATCGCTGCCGCGGAGCTTCTCTGGGTAGCCATGCATTTCACCGCGCTTCACCCATACTCGCCGTTTCCGAGATCCGCAATGTCTCTCTCCTGATGTCCTCCCTTCTGTCCCTCCCTCTCCCTCTCCCTCTCCCTCTCCCTCTCCCTCTCCCACTCCCTCTCCCTCTCCCTCTCCCTCTTCCTCTCCCTCTCCCTCTCCCTCTCCCTCTCCCTCTCCCTCTCCCTCTCCCTCTCCCTCTCCCTCTCTCTCTCCCTCTTCCTCTCCCTCTCCCTCTCCCTCTCTCTCTCCCTCTCCCTCTCCCTCCCCCTCTCCCTCTCCCTCTCCCTCTCTCTCTCCCTCTCCCTCTCCCTCTCCCTCTCCCTCTCCCTCTCCCTCTCCCTCTCCCTCTCCCTCTCCCGCCACGTCACGCCTACGTCAGCTTCGAAAGGAGGACTACCACGGCACGCCGTGGGCGCCGGTGATGATTCGCTGCACGTTCGCGCGGCCCGTGGGGGGTGACAATAACGGAGGGTCGTTGCTGCTCCGGCGACGGGGAACCGAGGAACCGAGGGCGATTGTAAAGAAGTTCCCTTTGGTGATTCAAGAGATTGAAATGGAGGTGCTTCGCGAGGAGCCGGGCGCGTTTGAGCTTATAAAGCAGCCGCCAATATACGAGGTACGCTACAACCAAATGCCGTTGTATCGTGTATGAAATTACTTGTCTGAATTCCCCATCCCACTGCTCAAGTTCATCCCCACGCCGCCGTCTGATTGTAACAAATACATCTACATTCACTGTTACACCATCCCCTCTCGATTCTCCCTGCAGTTGGCGCACTGTAGCGGTCCCCTTTATGGCCACCTGCGGCCCCGTGCCGTCTCTGATTGGCTACACTACCACTCGCGCGCAGTTGGCGTACAACACTTCTTCCTCCACGATTTCGGGGCTATAAGCGGAGATTACTCCACCACGTCAGAAGATACCGCAGCAGGACCAGCAGCAACAGCAGGAGCAGCAGCAGGAGGAAGTGCAGCAAGCGGAGCAAGAGGAGGGAGCGGAGTGAGCAGGGTGGGCGGAGCGAGAGGAGCGGAGACTGGCGGAGAAGAGGAGCCGTCGTTGGCGGAGGCCGTGGCGCCGTTCGAGGCGCGAGGGCTGGTGACGGTGACGCGGCTGCTGGGGCACGAGCGGTTCCGGTCGCACTACTGGCACCAGATACTGACCCAGAACGACTGCCTCTACCGCGCCCGCTACACCGCCAGGTAATGACCCTCTATATTTCTTAACTATTTGTGACTTATAACGAGAACGAAGGGAACTTGTTCCAGCCCAGGGTGATGTGCACACGTTTTTATTGCATTTCACATTGAGAGCTTGGCATCGGCATGCAGGCACGCTGAGCAGCTGCACGCCCCTTCCCTGCACAACTTACGCATATCTTCTTTCATATCTTCACCCCTCCTTCGTTTCCCCACCCTCCCCCCCCCGTCCCCCCGGATGGCTCATCTTCGCTGACATGGATATTCACTCCCTAACCTCTTCGCAATCTGACCCATCTGCACCCTTTCCCACCGCTCCTTCATCCTCCCCCCACCCCCCCCCCGCAGTCTTCACGAACATGTACGAGTATCTTCCCTCCCTAACCTAACCTCTCTCTACCCTTTCCCACCGCTCCCCATCCCCCACCCCCTCTTCACATGTGGCTCATCTTCACGGACATGGACCTTCACTCCCCAACCTAAATTCCTCACAATCCAACCTCTCTCCACACTTTCCCACCGCTCCCTCATCCCTCCTGCAGGTGGCTCATATTCACGGACATGGACGAGTACATCTTCACTCCCCAACCTAACCTCTTTCCACCCTTATGCACCGCACTTCTACCCCCCCATCCCCTCACAGGTGGCTCATATTCACGGACATGGACGAGTACATCTTCACTCCTCCGCCCGCGTCGCTCTCCTCCGCACTGGCAGCGCTGGCACGGTCCAGCCGCGCGTGGGCGTCCATGGGTGCGTACTGGGGCTTCATCACGCGCTGCCGGGAGAAAAACACGGGCGACAACAGCAGTGGCAGCACTGCCAGTAGCAGCAGTGGCACTGGTGGTGGAAACAGCAGCAGCGCCAGTGGCGGCAGCAGCAGCAGCAGCAGCAGCAGCACTGGACTTATCAGCACAAGCAGAGGCTCAAGGGAGTTTATGGAAACAGCAGGAGGGTCTGGTGAGGAGGAGATAAATGGATATGAGGCCCAAGGGCTCAGGGAAAAGGAGCTTCTGGTGGGTTATTTACCCATGAGGAGCCGACTTCCCATCTGCAGCAGCCTCAACTACAGTGAGCCCGCCACCATTAACACAACAAAAGCTTTTTTCTGCCCGGAGCACTTTGGACGGAGGAAAGTGGTTCTGGACCCGCGGAGAATTGACCAGGTTACAGTTCACGAAGTGTTGCTTCCGGGGAATGCCACAGGGGAAGTTTGGAATGCTTCTTATGAAGCCGGGATGCCTGTTATAATGCACTACCGAGGCATCCTGAACCAAGAGAAGATGCCGAGATGTGTGAGAGTGAGATTGGAGGAGACTGTGGGGAGTAAAGGTGAGGGAGAACAGTTGAACGTGATTGATTTCACGTTCTCAGATTACCTTAGGCAAATGCTGGCTGGTGTTTCTCAATAGCGATTGTATGAAATGCAGTGAACAAATGTTGTTGTGTATTGAAGGAAATAAAGTTGAACTGCAAATTATTTAGTTTGGTGATATTTTTACTTACCCACAAGACATCGGGGTCCCATGATCTAGCGGTTATGATGTCAGACTCTGAATCTGAATGCCCGAGTTCAATTCTCGGTGGGACCTTTCATGCCTTTCGCGGTGTTTCATTTGGCCTGTCGAGGCGCCCTGGTGGGGTTTACAGATTTTGCCCTTGTTCGATCGATAGCTTTGAAGTCCAGGGGTAACCACAGTACTAACCAAGTATTGCGTGGCTCGGGAAAGGCTCGGCTGCTGCAAACGAGGGCTTTAAACCTCACGAGAGGCTAGGCGGACCCAAACCAGAACCTCAAGTACACCTAACCCGCGCTAATTTCAAAAACTTCGCACCGAGCCGCGATTTTGCCGCTTGCGCAAGGGATATTTGTGTTGGGAGTGAGCACCTAGCTGTCTCTGCTGACGGGGCGGATTTGCCTCCCGCGTGTGTCGAGCGAGAAAGTTTGGTTTTGAAGTGTTTCTCTTTGTTTGAGAGTGGTTCGGCAAGAATTTTGAGTATGGGATGAAGTGCCAGCATGTCATCCCACATCGTCGTAATGTTCTGCTGACCCTTCACCATGCCACGTGTGCTGTAACCCCAGCAGGCGACGACAAATCCTTTGAAATTGGGGGATCGAAATTGGCGCGGGCTAGGTGTACGTTCGGCACACCTACGAATCTGGTGCGGTAATTTTCTCTGCGGACCGCGGTCCAAACACTGTACCCACTGGTCAAGCAACAGTTCTTCACGGGCAAAAAATACTTGGTTTCCGCTGGCTGCACCAACGACAGCCGCCCCAATGCCATTTGAAGGTGTAAGCATTTCGGGCAGAAATTGTGTAAAAACATTTGTAACCTAAAACGTTTGGTGTACAGTTTTCCCGTAAAGCAGCTGATTATTGTTTTTTGAAACGCGTTTGTGTTCGAGGGTACACTGGGATTTGAATTTTTCATCTTTCACCCAGCAGTGAGTTTTCCGAAGTTCACCACGTGCTATTTTGGAATTTTGTGAAACAATTTCTCGAATCTGATTGCTAGAATCGATTGAGTTGCGCTCTGTGACAGTTTGTTTTATCGGTTGACTACGCGGTTCTGACTGTTGTGACTTGGGCTGTTCGGGCAGCTGTCAAAACTGCTAACCAAGTCAAGTTGCATCTGGAAGGTAGTGACCCCAGGTTCGGACACCCTAGGCCGATCGGCAAATTGAACCCTATAGTCCCAACTGGGCGGTTTAGGTCGTCCTTACGTATGATGCCGTACCAGCCATCATACGTAAGGACGACCTAAACCGCCCAGTTGGGACTATAGGGTTCAATTTGCCTGGGATTTTGAGGTTTTGACACATAGTCCCGCGCGGTTCGTGTTTTGGAGCGGGACTTAATGCGAGAACAACTGTACTTTGGTGGGGCTGTACAAAAGAATGAAGTGCAATCGAACAAGGCCTTTGTCTGTAAAGATTCCCAGATTCCCCGCTCCGTCACCCATTCTCGCGATTACTGTAGCCATTCTTGAATGCAGAAGACGTTCTTCATCGCGCTGGACGAGACACGCCAGACTCTCCACACGCACTTGCTGCGGAGATCTCCAACGAACCGTGAACCTTGGGGGCGCTACACTCTTGTGTACGGCGTGCTGCGTCCTGGAGTGAGCATAGATTCTGGCAGCAATATGGGATCTTGTATGTGAGGTAACATAGATCACACAAGCAACACGAAAGCAGCAGCACAGCAGCACCTGCCGCGAGTTGAGAAAGCGGGAGGAGTAAACCGCACGTTTGAACGTCACAAAACAACATTCATACGCCTCGCTGGCAGGCAGCTCAGCTATGGATCTAGTTTTTGTGTTGAGGCGAGGGGAGAGGTTCTTGTACAGAACTGTATTCCAAAAGGCCTGAAGACCAGGGTCACAAAAATTGATTGAAAAGTTTTCCTTGCATAGATCTCGACATAAGGATTCGAACCAATGAGCTTTCGGTCTACAGACTTTCACATCGACTAGGACACTGCGGGCTGGATAACTTTGACGGATTATTTAAAAGAAAAAATTTGACTTTGCGGGACCATTTTAGGATGGAACATTTTCGGGAAGCACTGTATACTGTTCCGAATGTCTCTTTCCGGCTCGTAGACAGATCTGGGACATTTTCGGGAGCCCTGAAAGAGTCTGCGGGGAAGGCCAAAATGTGGGGACCGTCACGGGACCTCAACTTTTTGGTGATGGTCTTGGTCCTGTCCTGGCGTGTCTTGAGGGTTCTGTGCATCACTTGCACCGCGTCCGTCAGATCTTTCTACGTGTAGCGTGAATCGGCCCTTTCTCCCTGACGATTCCCATTCCAGTCATAATTCTAGTACGTGTGCCTGCTTCTATCAGGAACTTGCGCACATAAATTTGTGCCTTCGTGAGACTTCTTCATCTCTTACGCGGCACTGCTTGTGCCTCAGCCTTTCCAGTTGAGACTTCGAACTTGCCAGTTCTTTTGGTTTATCTCAGTCGCATCGAGTCCAGCACCAATGTTGACTCCACCTCGCTTCCATCGCAGGAGCTCCAGCGACGTTTTGAATTTCGCAGAGCCCATCGTCGTCATGCTCCCTGACGGCTCCGCCAGACTTTACGCGACGGATTTTGACTCCGTCGCGGTCACGGCGCGCCGAGTCCTTGGCCAGTATCCCGACCACAAAGTATTCGCTACCAGCTCAGATGGCGGCTTCGCGCCGTTGTCGCCAAACCGGATACTGAAGCCAGGAGGCACGTATCAGATCGTGCGACGCGATGTTGTGCATCCGCGGCCAAAGAAAAATGTTCATTCAATCTCAGCACGTTCCAGAAGTTTCCCCGTCGATCTGGAGGCGATTTGTTCGGAACTTGACATCAGATGTCGTCAGCCAAGATCCTGGGAAAGGAGGATTTCAACATCTCTTCGCGACCGACCTAATATGAGCACAAGCGCGTCGGAGCGGCCCCCGCAAATGAGGCAGGGCGCTGATGACACCGCAGGGGGAACAGAGCAAGAAAGAGATCACCGGTACAGTTCGGGCTACTACCCGTGCAGTGGATCGCTCGTTCATCCAAAGGTCGCATATCCAAGACCTGGGACCTCTGATGGGACTTACCGAGGCAATCCTGCATCGAGTGGTCGCATTTTTAGGAGGTCGCATTCCCGCAAGAGTTTGATCTCAGAGGACCTTTTGAAGGCTGCTCAGCTGCAGCAATTAGCTGGAGAAACCAGGATAAGTTAATATTTCGATCTAGAGCTTTGCTGTGCTCTGGTTATGTATCAGAATGGCTATGTACAAATATTTATGATGCTCCATGCTCCATGTACAGAATATGTATCTAACACTCCATGCATTCCTTCCCCTGCTGATGCTCCTGTAAATGTGGTGCATAATGGTGAGATTTTAGTTGGTGTGAGGTGATTTTCGTTTCGTGTATTTTTAGGGCTGACTGTAACAGCTAGACCATAAACCCATCACCCACCGTCACTGGCGCACCAATCGCTGCTCGTCATATTCTTCGCAGGTGATCGGAATCGTCTGTGCCGTTCGATAGGGTTTGCGAACATTCTGACTTCGACGGCGCACATTGCCTTGGGATCAGGAGCTCAGGAAACCAACTCCAAATATCGCGGAGGATCGAAGGCCAAGGTTGGTTGCTTGAACAGAAAACGCATTCGACAGGTAGATGTGTTTGATGTGGCACAGTGGCACCATCACCACAGATCAAATGGTTGTGTGGTGCATCTTGCATGGTGCATCAACTGGAACCACGACCATGAAAGATATGAAATAGTGGAGGGAACGTGGAACCAAAGCATTTCTCCAGATCCAGCATTTCGAGATACGGCATGGTGACTCGCTTTTTTAATACGTATACAGCGGTTCAGAGGAAGAATTCCCCCTCACAAAAAC